GACAAATTGACAGAGCTGCAGAATGACCTTACATCATTTTACATTGCAATGTATCCATGAATGAATAATGAGACAGTGGGCCCCAGTAGTCCCTCTCTCTTTCATTTTGCTTTGTGTCTTTCTGGTCATTTTGTATCTCTTTGTTGTTATTTTTGGTCTATATATGCATCTCTATGTTTTTTTGGGGTTCTGCATTTCCTTTCTTTGTGGTTGTCTTTGTAGTTTTTTGGTATCCCTGCTGTAATTAAGCATCTAATTGTGTAGTCGTTTAGCGATCATTTAACAAAAACAGATTTTAATCTCCTCTAATCAAGAATCTATTTGTGGTATTGTAGCTTTCTCTTTGTGTTCACTTTGGAAACAGTGTTCATTTTGCATCAGTGATTATTTTTTAATCTATTGTGTAATTGAGCACCTCTTTTGGTTGTTTTGCCTCTTTTTGTGTTTGGTTTGTGTCCCTGTGCAATCGTTTATGGGCCCTTTCATGCTCATTTCATGTCACCTCATGGCAGAGGTGGGGACTCGAGTCACAAGACTTGACTCAAGTCAGACTCGAGTCGCATATTTTTGGACTCGAGACTTGCTTGACTAACATTGATAAAAGACTTGACTTGACTTTGACTTGGTATTCATGACTTGAGACTTGACTTAAGCTTGAGATAGATGACTTGAAAGGACTTTTGTTTTTGTATTGAGATATTACGTTTAGTTTTTTCGAAAAACGTGATTATAGCGCCATGCGCGCAAACCTGGCAACCCACTAGAAGGCAGGAGTCTCAGTTAACATGGCAGCGGCTAGCTTTACTCCACAAATAGTGAAGTTTGGATTCAAGGATTATTTTGTCGATGACGGTAATAAGAAGAGAACAGCGGTATGTGTGCATCTGGACCCGGTGACGACATTACCTATTGACGCAGCAACCACTGTAAGTTATATTCTTGTTTAATTAGACTTCTCGGTTTCATTTATTCGACTCTGTATAATTGTTATTGTAGCTTAAACGGCTAAATCGCTTTTGAGAGATTTTAAATCTCAGATCTGCTCAGGCGAAACCTGCTTGACAGGTCTCAGCACTCAAGCCTGCATTATTAATATAGGCAGGGCCAGTCTATTGTCGCCCATCAGCTGTAGATAGTTAACTAATTAGAGGGGCGTGCCCCTACAGCTGTGAGAACTGAGCAATCAGGAGTCCATTTTAGGTAGCTCTTTCCTGGAGCGTCAGCTTCAGCGTCAGACAGACAAAGACTGACAAAGACATTGGAGTCCTGCGGGAGTAAGACTGACAAAGACATTGGAGTCCTGCGGGAGTCACGAGGGAGGCAAATCCTACTTTGATTGAGCTAAGTATCGCTGGTGTTTTTATTTTGTTTCATTTTATTTTGTTGTTTAGCCCCTCATGCTATAATCATGTGTATTTTCTCCATTCCTGTTCATGTGTCTTCTCGCAATTATCACTGGCCCCGTGTATCTCGTAATCGATATAACCGGCCTGCTCTCGTCTATCCCACGTGCTCCACTGAGATCCAACATCTAGTTTCAGGTGGCCTGTGGAACTGCCAGTCAGCTGTTCCTAAGGCTGACTTCATCTCTGGCTACGCCTCCCTGCAGTCTCTGGATTTCCTTGCTCTCACTGAGACCTGGATTACTCCATCCAACACATCCACCCCAGCAGCTCTCTCCACTGCATATTCCTTCTCCCATACACCCAGACCCACTGGCAGAGGAGGTGGCACTGGTCTCCTGCTCTCTCCCAAATGGAGCTTTTCCCTCTTCAAGCTACCTAACTTCACTCCTTCCACCTTTGAATTCCATGCCGTCACAGTAACCCATCCTATACAGTTAACCATTGTTGTTCTCTACCGTCCACCAGGCGCCTTGGGGGACTTCTTGGAGGAATTAGATAATCTCCTCTCACTCATCCCTGAAACTGGCCCTCCCGCTGTACTTCTCGGAGACTTCAACCTCCAGACGGGGAAGATAGACAAACTAACATCTCTGTTAACCGCCTTTGCTTTCTCACTGTCTCCGTCCCCACCAACTCATAAAGCTGGCAATGTCCTTGATCTCATATTCTCAAGGAACTGCGCTACTTCTAACCTCTCTGTAAACCCGCTCCACACATCCGATCACTTCTTCATTTCATTCTCTCTATCCCTTTCCAAACATAACAAACTAATCTCTTCCCATCCTGCACTTGTCCGCCGTAACCTTCGCTCCCTCTCCCCCTCTACCTTTGCCTCGTCGGTGCTCTCAGCCCTCCCTTCCTCTGATTCGTTCCAACTCCTACCTCCAAACTCTGCTGCAGAAACTCTCCTCTCTACTCTCTCATCCACTCTGGACTCGCTCTGTCCTCTCACATCTCGGCAGGCTCGTCAGTCCCCTCCTGCTCCCTGGCTAAATGATGCACTGCGTGCTAATAGAACCGTCCTTAGGGCAGCAGAGCGGAAATGGTGGAAATCCAAACACCGTGACGACCTCCTAACCTATCAAGCTCTCCTCTCCTCTTTCTCTGCTTCGATCTCTCAGGCAAAAAGCACTTTCTTTCAAGATAAGATCCAATCTTCCTATTCCAATCCTAAAAAACTATTTTCCATCTTCTCCACCCTCTTGGACCCTCCAAAAGCTCCTCCCCCCTCCTCACTTCTGTCAAGCGACTTTGTTACCCACTTTGAAAAAAAGATTGATGATATTCGCTCTTCTTTTTCTGACTCACCTTTACTCACCGCTGGGTCACCAGACCCTCCTTCCACCAACTCACTTACCTCCTTTTCCCCTCTCTCTCCAAGGGGGGTTCTTACCCTCATTACCTCTGCCCGCCCTACCACCTGTCCTCTGGACCCTATCCCTTCAAACCTCCTTCAGACTATCGCTCCTGATATTCTACCGTTTCTCACCCATTTCATCAACACTTCTCTAACTTCTGGTCACTTTCCAAACAGTCTCAAGGAGGCAAGAGTAAACCCTCTCCTAAAGAAACCCACTCTCAACCCGTCTGATGTTATAAACTACAGGCCTGTCTCTCTCCTCCCGTTCCTGTCTAAATCACTTGAACGCGCTGTCTTTAAACAACTCTCCTGTTATCTCAATCAGAACAACCTTCTGGATCCGCACCAGTCTGGTTTCAAGGCAGGTCACTCCACAGAAACTGCTCTCATTGCTGTCACGGAGGAACTGCACACTGCCAAAACTGCATCCCTCCCCTCTGTCATCATCCTGTTGGACCTGTTTGCTGCATTCGACATGGTGAATCATCAGATCCTCCTTCGCACTCTCCAAAAACTTGGAGTTTCAGGCTCTGCACTTTCCCTCCTCACCTCATACCTGAAAGACCGTACCTACAGGGTGACTTGGAGAGGGTCTGAGTCCGACCCTTGTCAATTAACTACGGGGGTCCCTCAGGGCTCTGTTCTTGGTCCCCTCCTCTTCTCCCTGTACACAAACTCGCTCGGATCAGTCATTAGCCCGCATGGTTTTTCTTACCACTGCTACGCTGACGACACCCAATTAATTCTGTCCTTTCCCCGCTCAGAGACCCAGGTCGTCGCACGCATCTCTGCTTGTCTAGCTGACATCTCTCAGTGGATGTCTGCTCACGACCTCAAGCTCAACCTTGACAAGACTGAGCTGCTCTTCCTCCCGGGAAAAGATTGTCCCACTCTTGACCTAACAATCAACATCGGCACCTCAGTTGTTTCCCCGACTCAGACTGCAAGGAATCTGGGTGTGACCCTAGATAACAACCTGTCCTTCACTGCAAACATCGCTGCTACAACCCGTTGCTGCAGATACACGCTTTACAACATCAGGAAGATACGTCCCCAGCTGACTCAGAAAGCGACTCAGGTTCTGGTCCAGGCTCTCGTCATCTCACGCCTAGACTACTGCAACTCCCTCCTGGCTGGTCTACCTGCATGTGCCATCCGACCTCTGCAGCTCATCCAGAATGCAGCGGCTCATCTGGTCTTCAACCTTCCTAAATTCTCCCACACCACTCCGCTCCCTTCACTGGCTTCCGGTAACTGCTAGAATCCACTTCAAGACACTGGTACTTGCTTACCATGCTGCGAATTGATCTGGCCCTTCCTACATCCAGGACATGGTTAAACCGTACACCCCAGCGCGTGCACTACGCTCTGCATCAGCCAAATGACTCGTTGCGCCCTCGCTGCGAGGGGGACCCAAGTTCCCATCGGCGAAAACACGTGGGTTTGCTGTCCTGGCTCCAAGATGGTGGAATGAGCTCCCCATTGACATCAGGACGGCAGATAGCTTGCACATCTTCCGGCGCAAACTGAAAACTCATCTCTTTCGACTCCACTTCGAGCGTTAGAACTATTAACAAAGCACTTATATACTAATAAAGGACTGGCTTACCTAAAGCCAGTTGAGTAGCACTTGAAATGTTTGGCTCTATGAAACCTGATGTACTTATGATTCTGTTTTCTTCAAGGTTGTGTCTTCCTGGTCGAATGTACTTATTGTAAGTCGCTTTGGATAAAAGCGTCAGCTGAATGCAATGTAATGTAATGGTATGCAGGGTCTGCAGCATAAAGATCAGTGACACGACCACCACAACATCCAACTTCATTCGTCACTACAAAAACACCCACAGAGAAAGGTGCGTGAATGTGTTGTGTTAGCTAGAAAGCTAACGTTAAGTTTAAGCTACGTTAGACTTGGTTTCAAATCGATTAAGCAAGAGAA